AAAAAAAAAAAAAAAAAAAAGTGAAGCAGAATCGCTTTTTATAATAAAGCGTTCGCTTTTTCGCTTTTTTCGCTTCTTCGCTTTTTCGCTTCGCCTGGGGTCCTCCAGGCAAGATAAGCTCGCCTCACCTCGCTTCTCGCCTAGGCGAGCTTTTCAAAACACTGATGCAGTTGATGTTAAAAATTTGAATTAGAGGTCTATACATTTTGACATTACTGAACTATGCTGAGAACTAGAATAGTTGGTAAAATATTAATAAAATAATATGTTATTATGAATCTATGACTTTTTTACAAATTTTAATAATTATTTAAAATTTAAAATTGCACATATCTTACGATACATGATACGATACGATACACTATTTTTTAAAAATGAAACGTCTTTCGATACGCGATTTAACAACTATGCACTTGATGGATTCACCTATATGAGTGTGAAGTGAGGCCGCTTCTATGATAACTTAGGCAGGTTCTCTAGAGCACTCATGAATATCCAGATAGGGCGAATGGCCTATTAGCGCCAACCTGCGTTGAATAGCTTGACTAGAGAGAATACAATGTGGGTGGTACGTTTGTTAGCTCACACTTGGGATTCACGGTTCATCAAAAATTTTCATTTCACCATAGTCCCGTGAATCACAACTTACTTATCCCAGGTTTGGTTCATAGCCCAAAAGGCACCAAATACAAAGCATTGTACTCTCGTTGATTAGCCCAAACTTTTCTATATTGTCTTTCGAAATATAAGGGGGATTGTTGTATATTTGACACATGTTTATTTCAAAAGTCAAAGATTTGCAATCTTGATGTTGATTTGTTCACATGGGAATCTCATATATTCATTTTCCTTAAATTTATATTTGTTTCCTTAAATGGCTATTGACCAATTACTTTCACATGTGCAAAATAAGTGGCTTGATGCCCAATCAATCATTTGGCTGTTGGAAGCCTTAATTGGCTCAATCAAAGGGCTCCTTCCCTTTTTCATTATCTTGGGCAGCCCTATATAAATGCTTCATGGGACAATGCAGAGACACATGCAAACATTTTCTTCTCTTCTTGGTCTGCTCACCAAAGCTTTTCTCAAGCCAAAGACATTGAGTTTTTAATTTGTCAAAATTCTAAAGCCTTCTTCTTTCTTTTGTCCTTACCACAAAATGATTTCTTCATTAGCATTTCGATATCTTTAACTAGGCTAATCTAGTTCGAGTTGTTCCTGACTCCTCACATTACGGGTGCACATTCACAAGATGCGGTCATTATATCCTAGAGGATAGTCGCCATTATCCTACTGCACCAAGCTTTGTACTCCGAGGGACAAAATCTATCCTTAAAGGCCGTGATTACTCACGCCTCAAACCAATAAGTTTTTTTGATCTCTCTCTTTATTATTATATATTTAGCATCCATATCCACAATAAATTACAACACTTTCAACAGTTGTTTGCTTTTGCATACAAATCAAGGTATACGAGAAATTAAATTAATGACAACAGTAGACCACTTGGTATTGGATTTGAAATCGTTGCTATCTAATTGAACCGAATTCGAAATTTGGATTCTTCCAAAAAAAACAGTATCAATCAACCAAGCAATTTAATAAAACCTAACCAACAAAAACAAGAAAAGATCACTGAATTCTAGGGAATCACAGATAGAGCTAGAGTTAGGGTTTCCGTTTTACCTAATGAGGTTCTTAGAAGTGATACGAGGAGCTTTGATTGCAGCACCGATCAAACTACTTCCTGTGATGTAAATCCCCCTAACAAAAATAAATTTGTCGGAAATCAACTCAAATAGTCAAATACTACAATTCATTTACATATATATAACTATATGTGTGTGCAATTACATGTATAATACCAAGCAGCGCCGAGAACAGAGACGCCGATAGCAATGGCGATGCCGACGGCAGAGAAGGTGTAAGGTGAGATATGGAGCATCGCCTTTGACCAGGAGCTTGAAGCTCCCACAGACATCGCCGTCGATGCGGACATTGAATTGCTTTTGGTGTTCTTCTTCTTTTTCTACCAGAGATCGGATTGGTGTTCGTGAAGAGATCTTTGATCCACAGAGAGAGAAAGAGAAAACACGAACCAAATTAATCACTGGTTAAATTCACTGACACCCTTGGGTCTTGAATCAATTATATAGTGACCCCTTCCCATTTAGAAGTAGGAAAATGTCATGCATATCAAAATTTTTATCAAAAAATATTTTTATCAAATGAGTTGATAATTCTATATCTAATCAAAAATATTTTGATCAGTATTTGATGGGTTCATGGGTTCAGGAGTAATCTTACCCAATCAAGAATATTTTGATCAACATTTAGTGGGTCTGAGAGTAATTTGAAACTGTCATATCATTTGATAAATCGTTTTTTGGTAAACATTGCATTATCTTTCAAAATAACTCAACAACATCTTGTTGGCAGAATTGACAACAGATCAGATTTGGATCGAGTTTTGAACGATTTGAATTCGAATTTGATTTTGAATGTCTAATCCAATAATTCAGTGAATTTTATTTTTGTTATACCTAAATTTTTATTTAAATAATTACTTAATTTTTTTAATATTTATACAAAAATACCTAAATATTTTGGATCGAATTAGATTGGATATTGGTATGTCTAAATTCGAATCAGCTAAATATAAGATATCATATTTGAGTTTGAATAATCATTAAAAAATATTAATCTATATCCACCTAATCGAATTCAAATATGAAATGAATTTAGATTAAAATTTAATCCATTAACAGACCTACTTATTGAGGGTTTTTTTAAGAAGTCGTCTTTAATTTTTTTTTATTTAGTTCAAATTAATTAAATAATTTATTTTTTATTCTACTGAGTTTTAACATTAAAAATTTAAAACCTAAAACTTATTTTGTTCCAAATCATCATCGAAAAGATGTTGGGGGGAAAATTTCATTTGCAATTCCTATAAATTATCTTATCTATTTTCTAAAATTTCACTCTTCTAAATTATAGATTCATCCCAACCACAACCCCTGTCGTTTGTGTTTGTTACTGACAAACCAAAAATGAGAAGGAATGACAGTAAACTAGCAAAAAATGTAAAGAGTTTCCTTGAAGATAGAGTAATCTAAAAGACATGTTGATGAAGTTTTCTATTTGTTTATTACTATATGAGTTCTATCACTTGTTTCTAATTGGCAGAAATAATCTTTTGAAGTAAAATTCATCTTACCCAAATCAGGATCTTGACTCATTTGCATCCCAAAGCTTAAAGAGATTAATGATTCTCCTTCTGAACCTTTTCTGAGATTTGGTATAGTTTTTTCTAAACAACGCAGAATCAATTTTATTGTACTACGATCAAAGTGTATTTTTTGAATTTTAGTAATGTCGGTATCGATCCTAAATAGGGTGGATCAATCTAGCTCCTTCCCTCAGTAGCTTCTAAAACGTTTCATTCCATTTTTTTTCATTAGAGTCCTCTCTTGGAAGTACAATAAATTCAATGTTCATACAAACAATGCAATTCACTAACAAATCTCAACCAAATAGCCATAATAGCCTGCGTTTTTGCATCAATTCAAACTTCAAAGTGATATATGTGTATTTTATATGGTAGAAGGAAAAATAACCATCTTACTTCAAAGCAATCATAGTTATAGTGTCCATCTACCATGAACAAATAAGGGATGAAAATAACGTGTGGCTAACCGTCACAATTCAAACAGTAATGGATTGAGACAAAAATCAATTGATTCATAAATATACATTTAAACTTATGAAAATATCGGTTGACCCAAAATTTTCAATTAAACGATTAAGCAAGCATCAAGTCTAATAAGTCCAAGATCCACTTAATTATGTATGGTATTCACATTGATAAAACCTCCATGCTTTTGAAACTTTGTTGGCCTATTGCAGCTGACTGAATTTGAAGGTGGAGGACTAGCTAGCAATTGGCTTGAGCTGCATTCATCTCCTAGCTGATCCCATGTTCATCAAGGCATGGGCCCACATGACCTGAGGTGGCAAAATCATCTCTCCACCTCTGTTCCACCCATTGCCACCACGAAGATCGGGGCATAGGAACATTGATCGTGAGCCTTACACCGACTTAATCAACCACTACAAATCTTCCATAGAGAAACCAGCTCCAAGCTTTGTTGAGCAACACAAAACTGTCATGCTAGCATTTTCAAAGGAAATGGTGCAGGCCTGCATGAACATGGCTAGGACTCCTGGTTGGTTCACCAGATGGATCGTTTCCAACGCCTTTTTGAAGCTTTAGCTGCGCCGTTTTGGGTTTGTATCAGCAAAGCCGATTGAAATTGTGTTGCTGTGTCAGAAGTTGAATAGCTATACTAATTCGGTATACTCTAAAGATGCCTTCAGTACTATATTGATGATCTCACAATGAATGAATTTCAGTGAATTTCCATTTACTGATCTTCGAAAGGAATAAAACATGGTCTAACAGACATATCTGTATCCATAGATATGAGAAATGTTCTAAGCCTAGACAAAAGCTTTTTTTGAAAATTGCATGATGTATAACAAGATTCCTGGGGAGGGATTAGGAGAAAATGAACTATCAAAAGCAGCAATTGGTTTCAGAGACGCAGTGGAGATGATGGACTCGGAGAGGGCTATGACTTGATCGAGGGGTTGGAACGTAACAATTGCGAATCCCATCCATTGATGAATGGTAACATTCTCATTTGTGCTAAGTTGGAAGGCATTGATTCGTATTCTGCCATTTTCGAAGACTATTTCAAGCCAATTCACGTTTCTTACTAAATTGAGCTGCCATTAGGGGAAGGGCAGGTGTTGATTCTTCCTGGTGGCAATGACCTATTTAGCAGGGTGGTTATGGCTACACTACCGGAAAATGAAGCCATCGAACTTTGTGAAGATGCTCTTATCCAGCAATTATCCCCAACTATACTGATGGGAGTGAATAAGAACTATTCTTAGTTAGAGGAATATGATCCTTGATAAAGTACTATATAGCTCGATTCGGTGCCATGTACTAAAGAGTATAGGTTTATAATTGACGCATAATGATGTTTATGTCAATGCTGATCAATTATATTCTCCAATAAATAAAGAGGGTGAGATAAGGAAAGATACATCAGGAACAAGAATTAATACCATTAAAGCCAGTAGATGAAATGAATGGAAAAGACTATACTCATAGGGCGAACGAGAGGAAGAAGTTCATGTGTTCATACATTCTAAACATATTGACTATGACCTCCTCGCTTTTTCTTTAAATAAGATGGGAGGAGATATACAATTGCAATGGACAATCATTGGGGGCAGCCTTATCAGGATAATGTTTATTATTGCGACCTGTCAATTTTAGACACAGCCTGCGAACATCACACGAAATTAGTAGTTTTTAGTTGGGTCTTAACAAGTTCGCGTGGTAAATGGATGGAGACTCACTAAATAAATGAGCCGACTCAAACCAGTTAAATATAACTTATACAATGTTTGTACATTACACGAATCCAATACGATACGAATTTGGTTATAGATAAATATGAGCAGATAAGATATGAATTAAGCAATATTTTGAAATGACATAACCTATTGATAGTCCTAATTAAGGATTTGAGTAAACCTGCATACATCCGACATTTCTCAAACTTTGGAATAACATAATTCTTGTGCACTGAAGTTCCTTATTTTCGCACTTAATATTATTTCAAGTTCTCAACTTTCTCCAGGTCCTGCTTAGAAATCAACCCCCCCCCCCCAAAAAAAAAAAAAAAAAATACCCCATGCCCAACACCAACAAACCGAGGCCCCAAATTAAAGTTGTTATACTATAATATTTCAACTAGGCTTCAAATTTTCAAAAAAAATAAAAAAAAGTGGGCCTTCTGACTAAATTACTGAATCCATCCTCACGTGGGATGTAACCACTGAACAATGACATGGGCCGGTTTAGAATTGCCAAGGCCTATTTTGTACGAAATCAACTGCATGGTCCCTAAGCCCTTTGTGGTATGTGAGTTTTTCTTTTTTTTTGGGTGAAAATTGGAAGTGAGTATTCTTAGATGTACTTGTTTAGAGATAAGTCCTGCAAGAAAACTTATAAAGGGCTAAGTCCATGTTAAAAATTATATANTTTTTTTTTGGGTGAAAATTGGAAATAAGTATTCTTAGATGTATTTGTTTAGAGATAAGTCCTGCAAGAAAACTTATAAAGGGCTAAGTCCATGTTAAAAATTATATATAATGACTTAAGTCAACTTTTTTTTTTTTTTATCTCAAAAATAACATTTCTTGAAATGAAGTTAATATTTTCTCTCTCATATATATTTATATTTATATATAGATTAAGAGTTTGATTAATATTAAAATTTTTCCTCTCTCTTATTTATCTATATCCAATATAGGTTATATATATATAATAACATTACAAAAAATAGTAACATTCAAATACAAAAACAAAAATTACTATAAATTTGAATAGTAAAATTTAAATTCATGTTACTCTTTTTTTTATTATGTTATTATGCATGTTACTGCTTTTGTTGAGTATGTTACTGTTCATGTACTATTATTTTTAAGCATGTTACTATTTTTGTTAACCATGTTACTACTATTATTTTTCTAAATATTAATATTCAATGTTACTNTTAAAATTTAATCCATTAACAGACCTACTTATTGAGGGTTTTTTTAAGAAGTCGTCTTTAATTTTTTTTTATTTAGTTCAAATTAATTAAATAATTTATTTTTTATTCTACTGAGTTTTAACATTAAAAATTTAAAACCTAAAACTTATTTTGTTCCAAATCATCATCGAAAAGATGTTGGGGGAAAATTTCATTTGCAATTCCTATAAATTATCTTATCTATTTTCTAAAATTTCACTCTTCTAAATTATAGATTCATCCCAACCACAACCCCTGTCGTTTGTGTTTGTTACTGACAAACCAAAAATGAGAAGGAATGACAGTAAACTAGCAAAAAATGTAAAGAGTTTCCTTGAAGATA